CAAGCGTTTTCGATAACTTGCCATGAGTCTTTTACAGCGCTGTGGAGGAATTTTGGCCCACTCATCTTTGCAGAATTGTTGTAAGTCAGCCACATTGGAGGGTTTTCGGGCATGAACTGCCTTTTTAAGGTCATGCCACAGCATCTCAATTGGATTCAGGTCAGGACTTTGACTAGGCCACTCCAAAGTCTTCATTTTGTTTTTCTTCAGCCATTCAGAAGTGGACTTGCTGGTGTGCTTTGGATCATTGTCCTGCTGCAGAACCCAAGTTCGCTTCAGCTTGAGGTCACAAACGGATGGCCGGACATTCTCCTTCAGGATATTTTGGTACACAGCAGAATTCATGGTTCCATTTATCACAGCATGTCTTCCAGGGCCTGAAGCAGCAAAACAGCCCCAGACCATCACACTACCACCACCATATTTTACTGTTGGTATGATGTTCTTTTTCTGAAATGCGGTGTTACTTTTACGCCACACATAATGGGACACACACCTTCCAAAAAGTTCAACTTTTGTCTCGTCTGTCCACAGAGTATTATCCCAAAAGTCTTGGGGATCATCAAGATGTTTTCTGGCAAAACTGAGATGAGCCTTTATGTTCTTTTTGCTCAGCAGTGGTTTTCGTCTTGGAACTCTGCCATGCAAACCATTTTTGCCCAGTCTCTTTCTTATGGTGGAGTCATGAACACTCACCTTAACTGAGGCAAGTGAGGCCTGCAGTTTTTTGGATGTTGTTGTGGGGTCTTTTGTGACCTCTTGGATGAGTTGTCGCTGCGCTCTTGGGGTAATTTTGGTCGGCTGGCCACTCCTGGGAAGGTTCTCCACTGTTCCATGTTTTCGCCATTTGTGGATAATGGCTCTCACTGTGGTTCGCTGCAGTCCCAAAGCTTTAGAAATGGCTTTATAACCTTTTCCGGACTGATAGAGCTTCATTATTCTCTTTCTCATTTGTTTTTGAATTTCTTTGGCTCTTGGCATGATGTCTAGCTTTTGAGGATCTTTTGGTCTACTTCACTTTGTCAGGCAGGTCCTATTTAAGTGATTTCTTGATTGTGAACAGGTGTGGCAGTAATCAGGCCTGGGTGTGGCTAGAGAAATTGAACTCAGGTGCGATAAACCAGAGTTATGTTTTGACAGGGGGGTGAACACTTGTTCACACAGGGCTATGTAGTTTTGGATTTTGTTTTCCCTTAATAAAAACCTTCATTTAAAAACTGCATGACGTGTTTACTTGTGTTATCTTTGACTAATATTTAAATTTGTTTGATGATCTGAAACAGTGTGACAAACATGCAAAAAGATAAGAAATCAATAAGGGGGCAAACACTTTTTCACACCACTATATTGTGTTGAATGCTGAATTGAAGTCTAGGAACAGCATTCATACGCAGGAGTTCTTTGACTCTAGGTGGGTGAGGGCTGGATGGAAAACAGCAGTAATGGCATCCTCTGTGGACCTGTTTGACCTGTATGCAAACTGGTAGCACAGTGAACCCCAGCACAGTGGAACATATTTTGTTTCTGAATAGAAATGAATAAAGTCACACAAAATAAGCAGAGATTGTACTGAGAGTGTCCCATGATCCTATCCCAAATAAAGCCTAACAAGAATGTATGTAAATGTGTAAACAGAAAGATGTCTTAAAAGAAATCAAAGAAATTCAGGGCCTGTCTTATGGAGAGCAAGCTGAGTTCCCGTAGGGCTTCTAAAACACACATTAACAATCACTGTCAGCCTTACTTGTGAAATGACAGCACTATCACACCCACATTTTCCACAGCAGTTTAAGAAATGTCTGCTTAAGAGATATATTTATTTGTTGGTGCATAACTTGTCTGTTAAAACCACACCCTGTAATTAAAGGCTCAATTACACATCAGTATACTTCCTCTGATTCAGCTATCAGTTTTGGGCTTAGCCCAACTATTTTATTGAGACTCTTAGGTTATAACACTCCCTCCTAATGTACTCACTACCAGCTGAATATATGTGTTTCTCCCCCAGTATTTGCATTCATACTCAGAAAATGGATCTATGGTCTGGAAGGATCATGCTAGTAAAATTAGAGGCATACCCTATGATAGCTTCACCTTCATTCTAGTCCACTTTAAATTAGCATTCAGCTTGTCCTGTCATCCAGAACCAAAGGCATTAGCTAGATCTAAGAACACAACAATGGGGTAGGAGTGATCCTGAAGGAGGAGCTGGTGAGGAATGTTTTAGAAGTGAAAAGTGTCAGACAGGGTGATCAGTTTGAAGTTGGAAATTGAAGGGGTAATGCTGAATGTAGTCAGTGGTTATGCTCCACAAGTAGGGTGTGAGTTAGAAGGGAAGGAGATATTCTGGAGTGAGTTAGATGAGGTGATGGAGAGTATTCCCAGAGAAGAGAGAGTGGTGAATGGGGCAGACTTCAATGGGCATGTTGGTGAGGGGAACAAAGGTGATGGGCAGGTTTGGTGTTAAGGGAAGGAACCTAGAAGGACAGATGGTGGTGGACTTTGCTAAGAGGATGGAAATGGCTGTAGTTAACACCTATTTCCAGAAGAGGGAGGAACATAGAGTTACATATAAGAGTGGCGGTAGGAGTACGCAGGTAGACTACATTTTGTGTAGACGAGGCAATCTGAGAGAGATTAGTGACTGCAAAGTGGTGGTAGTAGAAAGTGTAGCCAGACAGCATCGGATGGTGGTGTGTAGGATGACTCTGGTGGTCAGGAAGAAGAGGAAAGACAGAAAAGAAGACCAAGTGGTGGAAGTTGCAAAAGAAAGAATTCAGAGGAATTCAGACAGAAGTTGAGACAGGCTTTGGGTGATCAGGAAGAACTTCCAGATGACTGGGAAACTACAGCAGAAGTGATCAGGTGTGTCATCTGGAACGAGGAAAGAAGATAAGGAAACATGGTGGTGGAACGAGGAAGTACAGGACAGTATTCAGAGGAAGAGGCTAGCTAAAAAGAAGTGGGATGTAGAAAGGACAGAAGACAGTAGACAGGATTACAAGAAATTGCAGCGTAGAGTGAAGAGGGAGGTGGCAATGACCAAGCAGAAAACATATGATGAGTTGTATGCCAGGTTAGACACAAGTTTTCTCTTAGGCACTTTTCTCCTTATTAAATAGTGCCTTGGTGAACTTGTATGAAAACCTGCCCTAGCACATTCCTTTTTCCATCTAGCTTTTCTGAGCCTTAGGATAATTAAAGCAAACAGAAAGCACCTGACCAGAAACTGGAGTGCCACAGTGAACGGTGTGAATACTTTGAGATTTGAGTTTTGATTCTTGATTAATTTTCAGACAACTCTACACTGTAACCCCCCATTATCAAGACAACACGATGTAATAGATTTTTTGACTTTTCTTGATTTTTGACTACTTTTGTTGACTTTAAAGTTTAGACGAGAGTTCTGCCAACTTAAATCTTCAAGTTCACCACTTACATTTTCGTGTTTTATCAGCATGTGACGCTGTGGAATAAACCAGGTTTCAGCTAACTTTTAGTTGTGTAGTCTTTATTTACATTTATTGAGCAGTCCTTAAATACAATTACAACATACTTTTTCCTTTATAAAAGGAAAACTTATCTTACTGCAGCAAAAATTATTCAACAAGAGCATCTAGTTGTTGAGAGTAGAAACGCATGGCACTGAAATACAGGAATATAATTAGGTGAAATAAATTCAAGTTGGCAGAAGTCTCATCTAAACTTGTAAACTTTACTAAAGTCAACAAAAGTAGTCAGAAATTGAGAAAACCCAAACATCTATTGCATCATGTAGCCTTGATAATTTAGCATTTTCTCACCTTTTTTTTTTCCCAGTGATGGCCATGGCTTCATTTTGTCTTCATGGCTGAATGAATGAAGTGTGTAATGATGGGTAGAAATGACAACTGTATCCATTCAAATTTGAGTCCATAACACAATAAAATGTGCTTAAAGGGGTCTGAAAATTTTAAATCCACTGCACAACATTGTCCAAATAGAATAAGGAAGCCAAAACTTAAGATACTGCAGCACAGCACCTGTAGGTGCTCATCAGCAGCAAGACCACTTACCTCAGATAAACTAACCACCCCAAATTTATATTCGAGTCAGTGAATGGAAACTAGTAAAAAAAGGGTGAGGAAGAGCATGTTTCAACTCTTCTATGGCCAGAATTTTAAAGAAAGACAAGATGACAACTCATTCACTTTTTACTGATATTGAAATCAAACAATGAGCAGAAATGGTCAAGCAACAGTTGGCTATTAACTATGCCTTTAAAACCACAACTGTCTAATTTCAGTGACAAATGTTTTATATACTGTATATATATTGCCTTCTGTATCTGTACATAGGTACACACATAGAGTACATACACTGCTGATGTTTAAACATACATACAAACGGGTCACATTTATTGTAATGACTGGACTTAGTTCAGTTCCTGACTGGAGAGGCTTTTCAAAAGGAAATGCATAGATTGGAAAACTGAACACAATATGCCACAAGCAGGCTCACAGTTCAAAGTACCCACACTGAATCTGGAGTTTTGTTTTAGAGTTTGGTCCTTTACAAACATTATGAAGATACTTTTTTCTAAGGATGGGAAAACGGTCAGACAAGGATACATATGACTGACAGGCTAAGAATTGGAGTACAGCATCATGGAAATGATATTGTTTGGTGGCCATGTGAAGCAGGCTGTAGTGTAGCTCTAGGCCCAAACAAACATCAACTCTTCCCTTCAAGTGTCCCAATTAACCATCCTAATACAAGTGTTACACAAGGCCACAGACCAGAAGAATTGACGGAGATCTAACTGGCCTTGATCTCAGTACAATAAACAACAAGAAAAAAGAATTATAAGGACTTGATTGGTCTGTGAAAGAAATAAAACCTTCTTAGGGCAGAAAATGATGAGCTGGTGCTTCAAGGCTAATCTCTACATCTCTGCCAGGAGGAGGCAGATGGGGATGGGACCACTGGCCATAACCTTTCACTTGGGAAAAACAGGGCTCTCCATGGAAAACAGATAAGGACAAAGGTGCAGAGGTTCTGAGATGCAGGTCCTCTTGTTTTCAAAATACAGATGGCAGGACATCAGTAGTTGGGTTGGTGTGTGGTGATACAGGATGATTTAGAATGAAGCCCTGAGCTTAGCTGCCTAGCGGACGAGTGGGGACTGCTTCAGGGAAATGAGGACGGAGCGCATGCGGGAAACATCTTTGGCCTGCTTGCTTGACTTGGGGTTGAAGTCGCAGAGCCGGGCCACCCGCTCCCACTCCGTGCCGGGGTTGTTCTCATTCAGATCTGAAATCATGGCCTCCTCAGCTGCCCTACATGGAGCAGAGCAGAGAAGAGAAGAAAAAAATAACATGGAACAGAGAACAGTTAGTGGTGGAAGAGGTGGGATATACTTACAGCTCTGTGAAAAGTCCTCTGCTGATCACCAAAACACACAAACTGCTAGAAAACTCTGCTGCGCCTCCTGAGGTCAGCAGTGTTGGTTCTGGCATGATTTATTTGAAACATAAATTCAATTTTAGTTTAAATTTCAGCCTGGTCTCAAGATTTGAGATATGCTCTCCCAATCTCTTTGTGTATCTCTACGCTATAACTCATAAGTCTCCCTTGAAAAAAAAATTGACTTTGTTGGTCCAGCAGAGTCTCCCTCAGAGTGGGACAGTCCAATCATTACACAGAAACTGACATGTTTAGGCTCAAAGACAAGCTACAACAGCCTCATTACCTGTGGCATGCCTCCAACTATGCTTACACATTAAACAGTCACTTGTATTTTCAACTGTCCACAACAGTAATTGGAGGCAGACAGACCACTATGATGAGAAATCCAAAGAGAAATCAAAGTGAAACAAAAATTAAGTAAGATCTGATAAGCAATTTTGGCTGGTTAAAAATACAGTTCTGTACAGAACTGAGGGAGGGGTGTTTGCCCATACCCATTCACTTCACTTTGCATGTTTACAATGTTCTTTCCTCTGCAAGAACAATGTACAAGGATGATGAGATTATTTGTATACTTGTTCTTCATCGCAAAGGAACAATAACGGCAAGTTTTACAATTTTGCTTTTAACCAAGCCCAAAAGAACTGGAAGCACTACTGTGCCTTAGCCATGCATTTTGCTGCAATTGGAAAGCAAAGAATGTATTTATTTTGATTTTATGCATCACAGTTGTGGAGCAGATAAAATTAATAAATTCTTGGTCAAGACCAAGCGGTTTTTAAAATAAAACTAAAATAAAAAACACTACAGGACTTATCACACACTACAAATTAAAACAAAAACGAACCCCCACCCCCCAAAAAACCCTGGATCAATTCCACTATAACAAAACATTGATATAAGCCACAGATTATGAATCAAAATAAGACCTCATAACACCTGACCCTCAAACACAACAACAGCACTGCCATATTAGACTTCTGATATTTTCTAGTCCCCTCCCCATCTGCAGGCCCCACAGCTACTAACTACAACACAGGATGAGAAGCCAGTGAACATTCACTGTCATAACCAACTACAAATACACAAGGGACTAGAAGGACTATAATATCACAGAAGTGACAATACATCAAACCTCTATCTAGGCAGTAGATCCAACTACTGGGCAAGTAAACTGGTTATCTGTGCAAAGTATAATTATGAAACACACACACACACACAAACATATATATAAAGAACTGCATCTATCCCTTGTCAAAAATAAGAATTTGAAGATGCTGGCGTTTCATATGTTTACTTAACTGGTCTAGGCGGTAGCAAGGATGGTTAATGTGTGTGCTTTAAGGTGCATAGGAAAAGAAAACAGGAAGAAACAGTTTCACAAGTCAGAGTTTAGAAGAGACAGATAGGGGAGGGGATAAATGAAAGATGGCAAAAATGAGGTAAATGCAGATGCTGAGAGCCAGCATGCAAAACCAACTTAAAAATAAAACCATTTTCTTTAAACGTGTTCTACAGAGGTGAGGGTGCAGCCTTTGGTTCAGTGAGAGTCTCTGTATACAGTATAGTGTCTTATGTCAGGTTTCTGACGGACACATTCACAGGGACAATGTGGTCTCATTTGTAAAATGCTGTAGGTTCCTTTTTAAAAATGAACACAAATTAAGCTAATCTAAAGATGTTAAAAGTTCATCTAGATGCTTTTATTTCTTTATAATTAGCAATAAACACAACCTATATGTTCTTACTCAATGCTTATAAATGAGGCCCCTTCAGTCCGTTTTAGAGACTCACACCAAACATGACAACCTTCATCTATACACTAATAAAATCTTGAACAGGTTTTACAGTACTAGGAGTTCTTCCTTATCGACCTTGAAAAGCTGAAGAAGAAGAAATAGAACATACAGTATACACCACCATGCGGGCTAATGGTCATTCCCAAGTATTAACATGGCAAAACCAAAGGCGGCACTGCTCAGGCTACTGCATAGCTAGCTTGGCAAATTAGCAAGTCATCCTGCAGGACAGCAGTAGCTAGAAAGCAGCTAAAAGTCTAATAAAGCACAAACACAGTTCATTCTGAAGTAGTTGTGTGTCCATGAAATGACCAGTGGTGCCTGCAATAAAATCTTGGTGTAAATTGAAGCTGTAATCCACACAAGGAAACCAGAGATAATGGGGGCAAGTCAAGACATCTACAGGTTCAAGAAACCAAATTCTTCAAAAGAGCCCATGGCATGCTTTTCCTTGTTTTCCGACTCATCTACAATGGTGAATTAACATCGATAATTGATCTAAAGACAATTGACCTAAAGCTCAAAAAATGAGGTGTACATATGTTTTAGTATTTCTATGCAGAGGCTACTTGGTTTATACAAGTCTCGCAAACTCTGGCTTGCAAGACTTTTAGCCAAATTAAAGTATTAAGTCTAACCTACAAGCAGCCTGCCATTGAAGCAATCTGGGGCAGTGACCGATCAGCTCATCAATGCTGGAAAAAGAAAAGTTTAGAGTATACTGATACAAACACCACATCCAATTATAGACACACAACTTCCTCAAACAAATCTATAAAGATCTTATTCATTTAGGAAGTAGTGGGGGGTGGGTCACAAATGCAAAGGTGTTAAGTGGAAACAAAACATTTTCTGTGAAGGTTCAAACCAAACAATTAGTTGCAAAATGTTCTGCTAAAATGATTTCAAAGGTAATAGTATGGAAGTGAAGGATGGCCGAGAAAGCAACACAGGCACAGTTATGAAAGCATGAAACCAATTTCCACTGATGTGATTATGTGGCATGCAGTCACTTTTTACTGAATCATCCTGACAGGCATCCACTCACAAAGGGCATGCAGACACATGCTATGACAATTATTGCTGCAGATTATATAAAGGGAAAAAAAGAACAAAACAAAACAAAACAAAAACAAAAAAACAAATACCAAACTAGATGAGAACAGTAACCATTATAAATCAAGTAGAAAAACTAATGCACTAATGAGATGAATAAATGTCAGTGTTTGGATGCTGGGAGTTGATGACAATGAAAAAAACAAAAGCAAAAATAAATGACTAAATAAAAAGGAGCATGTTAGTTGGAGCAACATACACATAACCAATGAGCTCAGAGAAGGGCTGCTTGTAGAAGTCTTCATCCAACACCCTGGGCAAATATCCACCCAAACGACAGAGCAGCAAGAAGGCAGGAGAGAAGAGAAACAGCAGTAAAAGGGAGAAGAGGATGGAAACAAGTATTAAAGTATTATAGGTTACTACAATATAATACGATCAAGCATTTAATCAAAAGCTTAGATTTTAGGAAGGCCTTCTACAGGCAGTGTCAGGGGGGTTTCCAAGGCTCAGGGAGGCTCTTGGCTGATTGTGTAAGGGAATGACTTCAGACAATATCAGATTTCTCCAACTTATGAACCCGTCCGTCAGTTAAATGGCTTTCCAATATATGTTGCACATTTATGACTAATAACATTTAATGGGTTTTATTTGACTACTGATCAGGCAAAACATGCAAATTCAATATAATGATTTGATCTCTAGTAAATCAGGGGGATAGGACTCTTTTTTATTTTACAGCATAAATCAAGTGATTAATCAATTAGCTTGAAAAAAGAAAATGTAAAAGGTTAATAATGAAAATACTCTGTAAAAATGGAAACAGAGTGTTTCATGTACAAAACACATCCATATTAGGTTTATAGAATTGCAACCCTTCTCTACCAAACAGAGAGCTGCCAGATGAATATGGAGCCGTGGCTGCTTGCACTTCATTATTAATAGGGCAGCAGGGCTACATTACAGTGCAGGAGAAACAGAGACTCAACTCTGCAAAATGAGGAGTTACCTGGTGGGTGCAGGACATAAATATGGCAACAACGCAACATATTATGCATCCTAAATAGTAGTACTGTACATGTTAAACCATATAATAATCCAACACTTGACTTTGTTGGTCCAGCAGAGTCTCCCTCAGAGTGGGACAGTCCAATCATTACACAGAAACTGACATGTTTAGGCTCAAAGACAAGCTACAACAGCCTCATTACCTGTGGCATGCCTCCAACTATGCTTACACATTAAACAGTCACTTGTATTTTCAACTGTCCACAACAGTAATTGGAGGCAGACAGACCACTATGATGAGAAATCCAAAGAGAAATCAAAGTGAAACAAAAATTAAGTAAGATCTGATAAGCAATTTTGGCTGGTTAAAAATACAGTTCTGTACAGAACTGAGGGAGGGGTGTTTGCCCATACCCATTCACTTCACTTTGCATGTTTACAATGTTCTTTCCTCTGCAAGAACAATGTACAAGGATGATGAGATTATTTGTATACTTGTTCTTCATCGCAAAGGAACAATAACGGCAAGTTTTACAATTTTGCTTTTAACCAAGCCCAAAAAAACTGGAAGCACTACTGTGCCTTAGCCATGCATTTTGCTGCAATTGGAAAGCAAAGAATGTATTTATTTTGATTTTATGCATCACAGTTGTGGAGCAGATAAAATTAATAAATTCTTGGTCAAGACCAAGCGGTTTTTAAAATAAAACTAAAATAAAAAACACTACAGGACTTATCACACACTACAAATTAAAACAAAAACGAACCCCCACCCCCCAAAAAACCCTGGATCAATTCCACTATAACAAAACATTGATATAAGCCACAGATTATGAATCAAAATAAGACCTCATAACACCTGACCCTCAAACACAACAACAGCACTGCCATATTAGACTTCTGATATTTTCTAGTCCCCTCCCCATCTGCAGGCCCCACAGCTACTAACTACAACACAGGATGAGAAGCCAGTGAACATTCACTGTCATAACCAACTACAAATACACAAGGGACTACAAGGACTATAATATCACAGAAGTGACAATACATCAAACCTCTATCTAGGCAGTAGATCCAACTACTGGGCAAGTAAACTGGTTATCTGTGCAAAGTATAATTATGAAACACACACACACACACAAACATATATATAAAGAACTGCATCTATCCCTTGTCAAAAATAAGAATTTGAAGATGCTGGCGTTTCATATGTTTACTTAACTGGTCTAGGCGGTAGCAAGGATGGTTAATGTGTGTGCTTTAAGGTGCATAGGAAAAGAAAACAGGAAGAAACAGTTTCACAAGTCAGAGTTTAGAAGAGACAGATAGGGGAGGGGATAAATGAAAGATGGCAAAAATGAGGTAAATGCAGATGCTGAGAGCCAGCATGCAAAACCAACTTAAAAATAAAACCATTTTCTTTAAACGTGTTCTACAGAGGTGAGGGTGCAGCCTTTGGTTCAGTGAGAGTCTCTGTATACAGTATAGTGTCTTATGTCAGGTTTCTGACAGACACATTCACAGGAACACTGTGGTCTCATTTGTAAAATGCTGTAGGTTCCTTTTTAAAAATGAACACAAATTAAGCTAATCTAAAGATGTTAAAAGTTCATCTAGATGCTTTTATTTCTTTATAATTAGCAATAAACACAACCTATATGTTCTTACTCAATGCTTATAAATGAGGCCCCTTCAGTCCGTTTTAGAGACTCACACCAAACATGACAACCTTCATCTATACACTAATAAAATCTTGAACAGGTTTTACAGTACTAGGAGTTCTTCCTTATCGACCTTGAAAAGCTGAAGAAGAAGAAATAGAACATACAGTATACACCACCATGCGGGCTAATGGTCATTCCCAAGTATTAACATAGCAAAACCAAAGGCGGCACTGCTCAGGCTACTGCATAGCTAGCTTGGCAAATTAGCAAGTCATCCTGCAGGACAGCAGTAGCTAGAAAGCAGCTTAAAGTCTAATAAAGCACAAACACAGTTCATTCTGAAGTAGTTGTGTGTCCATGAAATGACCAGTGGTGCCTGCAATAAAATCTTGGTGTAAATTGAAGCTGTAATCCACACAAGGAAACCAGAGATAATGGGGGCAAGTCAAGACATCTACAGGTTCAAGAAACCAAATTCTTCAAATTATCTAAACCTCATAAAACTATCTTCCAAGTCAAAACATGGTATTAGTTGGAGTTTGTGAATCCTGCAGACGGCTCAAGTTTAAGTCCAATTATATGTGGTTAAGCACATGAAATGAAAACAGTAGTAATTTGAGAGGGGATGTGACAAAAAAATAATGCCTAACAAGATTATTTACGGTTCTATGATGGAATTACCTTAGTAAGTACAGATGTGTCCAGAAAGCAGACAACTTGACTTTCATGCCCTGTAATAAATTAACCTCTGTTGCATAAAATATTTAGCTTAGCACAATCGTGCACACTGCCCTTTTCATAAGTTAGGGGCTGTGGCTGGAAATATGGGAAGTTAAAGAGCCCATGACATGCTTTTCCTTGTTTTCCGACTCATCTACAATGTTACAATGGTGAATTAACATCGAGTACAGATCTAAAGACAATTGACCTAAAGCTCAAAAAATGAGGTGTACATATGTTTTAGTATTTCTATGCAGAGGCTACTTGGTTTATACAAGTCTCGCAAACTCTGGCTTGCAAGACTTTTAGCCAAATTAAAGTATTAAGTCTAACCTACAAGCAGCCTGCCATTGAAGCAATCTGGGGCAGTGACCGATCAGCTCATCAATGCTGGAAAAAGAAAAGTTTAGAGTATACTGATACAAACACCACATCCAATTATAGACACACAACTTCCTCAAACAAATCTATAAAGATCTTATTCATTTAGGAAGTAGTGGGGGGTGGGTCACAAATGCAAAGGTGTTAAGTGGAAACAAAACATTTTCTGTGAAGGTTCAAACCAAACAATTAGTTGCAAAATGTTCTGCTAAAATGATTTCAAAGGTAATAGTATGGAAGTGAAGGATGGCCGAGAAAGCAACACAGGCACAGTTATGAAAGCATGAAACCAATTTCCACTGATGTGATTATGTGGCATGCAGTCACTTTTTACTGAATCATCCTGACAGGCATCCACTCACAAAGGGCATGCAGACACATGCTATGACAATTATTGCTGCAGATTATATAAAGGGAAAAAAAGAACAAAACAAAACAAAACAAAAACAAAAAAACAAATACCAAACTAGATGAGAACAGTAACCATTATAAATCAAGTAGAAAAACTAATGCACTAATGAGATGAATAAATGTCAGTGTTTGGATGCTGGGAGTTGATGACAATGAAAAAAACAAAAGCAAAAATAAATGACTAAATAAAAAGGAGCATGTTAGTTGGAGCAACATACACATAACCAATGAGCTCAGAGAAGGGCTGCTTGTAGAAGTCTTCATCCAACACCCTGGGCAAATATCCACCCAAACGACAGAGCAGCAAGAAGGCAGGAGAGAAGAGAAACAGCAGTAAAAGGGAGAAGAGGATGGAAACAAGTATTAAAGTATTATAGGTTACTACAATATAATACGATCAAGCATTTAATCAAAAGCTTAGATTTTAGGAAGGCCTTCTACAGGCAGTGTCAGGGGGGTTTCCAAGGCTCAAGGAGGCTCTTGGCTGATTGTGTAAGGGAATGACTTCAGACAATATCAGATTTCTCCAACTTATGAACCCGTCCGTCAGTTAAATGGCTTTCCAATATATGTTGCACATTTATGACTAATAACATTTAATGGGTTTTATTTGACTACTGATCAGGCAAAACATGCAAATTCAATATAATGATTTGATCTCTAGTAAATCAGGGGGATAGGACTCTTTTTTATTTTACAGCATAAATCAAGTGATTAATCAATTAGCTTGAAAAAAGAAAATGTAAAAGGTTAATAATGAAAATACTCTGTAAAAATGGAAACAGAGTGTTTCATGTACAAAACACATCCATATTAGGTTTATAGAATTGCAACCCTTCTCTACCAAACAGAGAGCTGCCAGATGAATATGGAGCCGTGGCTGCTTGCACTTCATTATTAATAGGGCAGCAGGGCTACATTACAGTGCAGGAGAAACAGAGACTCAACTCTGCAAAATGAGGAGTTACCTGGTGGGTGCAGGACATAAATATGGCAACAACGCAACATATTATGCATCCTAAATAGTAGTACTGTACATGTTAAACCATATAATAATCCAACACTCAGAGTTATGCAGTGTTTTTATGACCTACACCAAAATTTAGAACAAAATGTACTTGTAAGTGAAATCTGTAGAATGCTCTTTAAAATGTGTCAATTCCAGATTTGAAAAAATATTTCTAAAATTACATTTGAATTTCATTTGTTTAAACCAGTCTATGCAATTGGCACAATTCTTAGATACCACTGTGGATTGAACCTCACACTATTCAGTCAGCAGGCTACATGTTACTAATGCAAAGAGCCAGCTGTCCTGATAGCTAATAACTTAGCTTGAACTGGCAAAACTGAGGCAGTGTACTACTAAAAAAAAAAGATAGCTGCCTTTAACATCCATAACATCCCTGTCCATGACTAGCCTAACATTATTGGCAGTCTCAAGATACTTAAACTGGAAAGCAGGTTAGAAAATGCTGTGTAGCAGGAACCAGTATTATTGAAACTGTATGAAAATGGGAGACAAACAGCACAGTAGTATTTGTTGCAGGGTTGCTTGGTTGGACTGTAGAGGTTTGAATTGTCCTGAGGCTGCTAGCGAGTGGGCCTCTGAATAATCACAGACAAGGGTGGGTGTTTCACAGCATATACAATGCTGCAATACTGCTGTGAACGTTATCATGTTCTTAGCAAATCTACTGTAGCTTCTCAAAAAAAGCCATGAAAATAAAATTCTTTTCACATTATGTGTGAAACTATCAATGGCTAACTGTAGGATCTGACAGATCGGTACCACACATGCTGGGACACCAACACAGTGGGTACATCCCGATTCCCTTATTTGATTGTTGATCCTCAATTGACAAGGAAGTTGTTATGGTCTGTCATCTTGAAGGATGTCCCAAAGCTCTTAGTCCTGCTGGCTGCTGAAGGAGCCATGAGTGAAGATACAAGAAACCATCCTTTGCAGAAGTCTTTGATGGACTGACATGCCTCTTTATCTGAAATCAGTTGGTGACTGGATGCTTCAGATGAAGGATCAGAGGAAAGAACATGTCAGGATGTATGCGTTTTCTCGATTCTTCTCTCTTCACTTTTTTCCATTGCAATGGAAAAGATGGAAGTGAGGAAAACATGGATGCAAATAAGGGACCTGGGATGTACCCATTCTGTCTGTGGAACCTCAAGGCTGAGATGGACCAATTTCTTTTCCTGTTATTGGTAAAACACACTGGAAATGTTTTTTAAAGTGTTTTCTATGCATGTCTCACGCTGCAGATAGAATTCCATTATATCAAATGTTTCAATTGAATGGAATGACGCTTCAGTAGCCCTTATGTCTCGCAGTGCTTTTTCCCAGTTAGACTCCACACACTGTCAGGTATATGTTCACCTATGGCTGAATCCAAGACTCCTGCAATTATTTAAGAACTATTAACTTCCTTTGTAAATATAAAAGCTTTGTTTTTGAGACTGCAGGTTATTGCTAATCATCAATATCGTTATTTTGTTTTTCTGTTCTGCCATGCATTGTAAATATGCTTTTTTTTTTTTTTTTAACTGTAAAATCAGCCCTCGCTCAGCTCCACTGATCCCTTGTACCCAGGTTCTAATTCTCTATGAAGCCAGTACCTGTTACTGGTTTTGGTTTTCTCCAGTTGCTCATTCTGCCTGGCGTGCCACTCCTCTAGCTCCACCTTGGCCTTCTCCTTCCACTCCAACTCCTGCTTGCGAGAGTTGGCATCTGGGGAGGGAGATGAACAAGACGAGCAATGACAAAGTAGTGAGGCAGATAATGGTAATAAAAATGACAGGGCAGCAGACAATGGATGAAAATAAGGAATTCAGTGAACATTAGATCTAATGACATCAACCTTTACTTGTCATTGTCATATCTCAGAGAGCAGTGGGCCAGTTTTATTCCCCTATAAACATATAGAGGTCATCTAGTCTGTACTTACCCAATACCTCCAGCCTCTCTCTTTGCTCCTCCCTCCACTTGCGCAAGCTTTCCGGTTCAGCCTGCAGCCGGTCTGCATTGGAAATTGCTGCATAAGCATCTGATGGACCATTGCTTTCCTGAGAAACAATGAAGATGATGATAGGCAGATGACAAAGAAGTTGAACAGACTGCCCTGTGGTGTGGTCGTAACAACCCGGAGCTGAACATGTTAAAAACTGTGGAAACGATAGGGTGGGGGAGCGCCTCCAAAAATCCACCATCTCTGCACACTATATTCAGCAGCACAGTTTCAATCGTGGAGTCCTACAAGTTCCTGGGCTCCACAATCTCTCAGGACTTGAAGTGAACAACCAAACAGCCAAACACAAGGACAGTTTCTTCCCCCGGGCCGTCACTCTGATGAAGGCCGTCACTCTGATGAAGAGTTAGTCTATGTTTAAGGGTATGGCAGAATGCTGTACACATCACTGTGCAACAACATAAAGATCTACATTAGCTCTTTTAACTTATGTATATATGCATGTGTGTACATTTGTCTTTTTTTTTTTTTACTTGTGGTTTGGGTTTTATTCTGTTTTTATATCGTTATGAAATTCCTGGTATTTTTGATAATACTTGGAAGACGCTGGAAAACCATTTTATCAATGAGCTTTACAGAGACATGGTAAAGAAACAGTCCCTCATCCTGAATCTTTCCAAATATTATCTGAAATTTCTAATGAATCAGCTATTGTAGCCAGTTTCTTGTCCTGATTCCTATATGGATACATACAACATATATGCTTGTAAAAGTCAGATACATGCTGTTGGAAAGGATTACACCCAAGCTGGCCCACTTTCTGTTTTATCAGCTTAGTTTCTCTCACTGCCAGAAAGAAGTCCTGATAGTGCAAAAGGCAGCAAGGTTGCAATGACTGCACAGGAAAAGGAAGTTGGAGTGAAATCTAACAGCCAGATATTCCAGCCTGTGACATTAGCACTGAAATCATGCTGCTACTGTGCTACAAGAAAATAAGTATTTTTCCAATCCACCACATAAATACTACAACTCACCTCCTTCAAAAATAATTTAATTTATTACAAATTTTGTTTAATGTTTTAGTGTTTTGGACATCATTCCTATCAGTAATATTTTAAATACTAAATTGCTGGCACCTGACAAAGAGATACAGCCAGTCAAAGAATCAGACAATTTAAACCAGCCACCAGGCTACCCAAATATTTTAAGAGAGGAAAATCACAGGTGGGTTGTTTCTTACCTAAACAGTGTAAGTGTATCTGATGTAGTTGTGCATGCAAATAATTTTTGTGCAGTGAAGTTTTATTGGCAGCATTTCAGGAGGGCTACCTTTAAGTGTTACACCCAAATAAAGTGGTTTAGATCATCTATCTGATGGCTTATTTACAAGTAGTCCAACTACCTGACTGCTGCTTTTTTCTTCACCACCCAAACTTATTTTAGCAATATCACTATACTCCTAGATTTCAGCAATTCACTTTATAATTAGTGATAGAAATGATGGTCAGGTCTCAAAACCCATTTTAGTGAATAAGAATTATGGCAAAAATATGAAAGGCCCAAGTTGTAATAAAACCACATTAGTCTTTAAATGTCGCAATTAAACAAAAATCATCTAACAATGTCAGCATGTTGGGTCATTATCTACAGTATGGGAATAATCCACCTGGCAATGCTGAAGTTTTTACATCACTGCAAAATTATGGAAAACAAATATCACGTTAGCAGTGCAGTTTTGGCCATTTACCAAGACAATAACATCAGTGTCCTGCCAGAAATAATCTGCAGACTCAGCAGAGACAAGAACACACAGCTTCTTAAAAGGAAGCAAGCAAAAGCTCTACATATAAAGATCAAGGGTTCATGTAGATCATGAGTGCAAACAGGTTGTTTCAAAGCCTTTTCCATTCTCTCATAAAATATAAAGATACAAACATAATGATAGGATAAATCTGGTAATTTAAGCACCAAATTGTTAAGAAAAACAATGTAAAAAGGTGTTACCCCGTAAAGATCTCCATTGACAGCTCCATCTAAAAAAAAACAAAGACATGAAAAATGGTTGTTAGAAATCGAGCAGACCACAAACATGACTACATACAGTATGTTTGGGGACAAAAAAAATCTACAACAATTAGACCTGGGCTAACTGGGAACCCCTTACCTTTGCTGAATCCTCAACGTTTTCATGTAGTTACACATATTTTATAATATGAAATGTAAGCTTTTCTGACCCACTACAACTGCTAAACCACAACGAAGCTGCAGCTTAACGGAAATGAAACGGCCATTAAGCTCCATCAATTTCCTCCTGTAGCTCGCTGGCAAACACAGCTGCAGCTGCGTGTAGTGCTGCCAGCAAGTAGTCAAGCTTGATGGGAAGCAATGAATGATGGCCAAGAACTGATGTTACAGACAACTTCATTCATTTTAGAAAAAGCTAGCTAAAACCTGGACCTTCATATAACAAACAAATATTCCGAGACATCCGTTTACATTTTGTCATTTGTCAATTTAATTTTTTTAATTGACGCAGATAAAGGATAATGTTAACGCTAGCTAAATCCACTGGACTAATTTGCTAGCTCAGCTAACGTTAGCAAGCTGGCTAAAAGACCACCAACTACCAATGTCCTTTTGGAACCACGTTAACCTTAAACGGAACACTTCTTATTTAGAAACAAGAACAACCCCTGAAATTAAAGTTTGGCTAACGAGACGGAAAGTGCTAAGACTGAACTTAGGCGAAATATCACCGCTTAACCGCAGCAAACCCACCGTTGGAGTCTCCCAGCGACGAGGGCACCTCTCCGCTGTCCAAGATGCTAAAGCCTTCGTCGTTTTCAATCCCCGCGATTTCGCTCTCTTGCTGGGCCAAGAACGCGGCAGCAGGGTCCTCCTCCGAGCCGACACCGTTTCCAGCGGTGGGCGTATTTAGCATGTCAAAATCATCCATGTTGTGTATGCTTGTGGTAGGACAGATACGAGAAACGAAAAGAAAGCCTTGGAGGTGATCGAAATTGATTACTGTAACGGCAAGAAGGCCGGGGGGTGGGGGGCTTAAAGCTAGCAAAGCGGAAACAGGTGGACAACCAACCACAAACCAGGACGAGTGACTGACAGTAAAAAAAACCAATCGCACAACAGTTTCTTAACAATTAGACCAATCAAATTCTTGAATCCTCCTTCAAGACAGGTCCCATGACCTGCGACGTGCTGTCAGAATTGAGCAAAATCCGCAGACTACGATTATGAGAGAGTGATATCATTGGCAGGTTTTTTATTTTCAGTATATTATATTGGTGTTAATAAATAAATGAAATAAATGAATATAAAAGAACTTCTTGTTTTATAGAAATAAAGACAGTTTCTACTGTTGTGCAGGCAGCAATAAGATGTTCTTCAGGGTGTTTGGTTTCCTCTGTACCTTTAAGCCTAAAGGGCCTGTTGCAGAGAAACATCCCCACACCTTGTTGCTGTCAAAACCCACAATGAAATTGCTTTTTCTGCTGATGTGTAGTGTTCCGCTTAAATGCAAAAAGCTTAACATAGGTCTCAACAGATTATAAAATCCTCTTCCACATTCCTTCTGTCAAACACCAGCCAAATCTTTGGCTTTCTTTCTGTCACCCTGGCAACTGTGTCTAGCTCTAAACATAATGTCAGAGTGATTAATTATTAAGTTCTGACAGTGTCAAAGGCTCGGGTGACAAGCAAACACTTACTCAAGGTTATGTAGCTGGTTACATGCTGGTTTTGAACCACATCAGAAGAATGTCAGTGTGATTCAGAAAACACTTGTTAGGTTGTTGGAGCAACTCAGTGATACAGTATTTGAAAGCTAAAACTTATAGCCTTCTGCTTTGAGCTCAGAACCAGTGTCTCTGAATGCAAAGTACCCAGTTGTTGCTTACGTTATAAACATGCCGAACTTGGAAAATCACGCCAAGTGGGGGGGATTTGTTGTTCTCCATTAACTTAGTATTGCTTAGTATTGGGTGAAGGTGACTGACTGCGGTGTCTTTTTACAAAAAACTGAAATATGCCTAGAAGCAACTCTGTGGTAGGATGCACTACCAACAGGGCAAAGAACCCAGACTTAAAGTTTTAAAAGCTGCCAAACAAAACCTCGAAGCTTTAAGAAAACGAAACTTGCTAAGAAATGAGGCATTAGCAGCGGTGGAAAGTAACTACAGTACATTTACTCAAGTACTGTACTTAAGTACAGTTTTCACTAGTGCAAAGGTGTTAAGCAGAAACAAAACATTTTCTGTGAAAGTTCAAACTAAACAATGTATTTGCAAAATGTTTTGCTGAAATGATTTATAGGGTAATAGTATGGAAGTGAATGATGGCTGAGAAAGCAACGCAGGCACAGTTGTGAAAGAATGAAACTGATTTCCACTGATGTGATTATGATGCTTTCATCAGCTGTTCTTTCTGTAGCGACCACACTCATACATTTCAGAAAGATGTCTGCAGACTATTAGGTAATAATTCGACATTGATTTTAACCTCAAATATGAGAATTTAGTTTTTGGTGTTCATGGTCATTGTATGGGACGTTTACATGGAGAACAAAACATTTTAATTAATTGTCATTCAAGACAAATTTTCTACACAAATGCAAATTTGAAAAAACAAAAACAAACCCTGCTTCCTACCTTTTTGTAACTACATGGACTTTACATAAAGACCATCTCCTCTTCTAACAATGCAAAAGCTTTGAAGACTTTTATGCTTTATAAAAAATATCAGTTCTTTGTTAATATGTAGCTTTCCCTTTATTTTATTTTACCCATGTCCACCCACATTTCAAGGAACAGCTCAACAGAGAAGTGACCCTGCAGTGAACCCGAGCACAGCCGACGGTGGCCGAGGAGAGTCGATCCTGCATCAGCAGCCATGTTGTGAGTCAATTCTCATGAATTCGAAAAAAAAACAGTGTGACCTTCTAAGAGAGAATAGTTATGAATTTGGACAAACACAGACCTGTTCATTTTACGCCGTTAGAACAGCTTCGCGCATGCATGCAATCACGCGCGCGCAAACACAGACGTAAAGTCGCACAAACACACAGAAGTGCTCACTGGGTCAATATAACATCAAAACCGATGCGCACTTTTATCAAATCCATTCATTATTAGCAAGTCACCCTTGCAAAAAAAGCGGTAGGAAAAGTGCATATTGGCTTCGTTTGGGGTGCAGGCTTCGAAAATGGAATCAAGTCACCATCTGGGTGGATGAATCAAATGATCAGAATTACATGCTGGGACCAAGTACTTCAAAATGTATTAGGAACAGAGCGCAGTGCATTGCTTTATATATAAAATAAATATGGCATCAAAAATAGCGTTTTGATGGGTTTTAAACTCAAGGTACTTAACTGATGAGACTAAATGTATAAAGACACATAATGCTATTCATCTTTTGTAATCTCACTTTTAATGGTACTGTAATTCAACATGGATCTTACAAAAAAGTGAGGAACATGAAACAACTGAATACAGCTGCATAGAATACCTGACAGTACAGTTAGTAATAATCTGCATAATGAGTGTGTGTGGTACATCACTTCTGTTTGGAATAGACTGAATGAAGAATACTTCATTTGAAATTTGGCATGAGGGACTATTGGGAAGGATTCACATACTGCAACTTTGTTGGAACTCCAATCAACTGATATAGAAGGCAGAGTGCTGAAGTCAGCACAGCTATAATGGGTGTGTATGGTCCATAAATCCAAGTTTCATTTACAATGTTTTTCCCCCACAGATAATGTGGCTACTGTAACTATTTCAGCGAGAGGCAGGGTACATCCTGGTCTATCACAGGGCTGACACAGACAGACAACCACACGCAGTCACACTCACTCCTAGGGGCAATTTAGAATCACCAATCAACCTAGGCTGCACATCTTTGAACTGTGGGAGGAGGCCGAGGTCCAACATAAACCGATACAATTTAATAAAATGTATCCAAAATTTTGATAGAACCTGTAGTGTACAATGCAGTATGTATTAGTACATACAGACTCCACAAATATTTTTTGAAATAAAATACATCTTCAGAAGGTATGAAAAAAAAATTGCCTTAAAGATATGTGTTGATGGAATAAATAAAAAAATGAATATAAATTCACCATATTGCTACAGCAAGAGCTGCTGCCTTAACATTTCATTAACATAAGCCAGAATAATACTTCAACTGATTGCATAAGAACTGATTTCATACCCCTAATGCGTCCAAGACTATATACTATACTAACCTGTTAAAAGTCTTAGAGCACTTTCATAAATAAACACCTTAAATAATTAAATTAATAACATGGAAATGTTTCAGCAATATTTTGGTCACATCTGAAATAAGCTTTCTGTTTCATGAAAGATTTTCGATCCAACCACATATTACAAATAGAGCAGATCATTTTGGCATGAGCATGACTGTAGATGAACTCAAAAGCTGATGCTGTGTTATAAAGGCTCTAAGTGTTCTTCAACAAGCAGAAAATAATCATTAAAAATATTTAACTCGTACTTAATACTGAGATAATGGTTTTATTGCATTTTCCTTCATTGTAGCCTTCAGAATGTATCCCAACGATATGCTTGCGTATAAATCTGGACAGTATACTGTAGGTACTAATTCACTTTCAGATTGGCAGTCTTCTTGTAGATAACAATCCTTGTATTAGGAAATCAGGACAATATCCTTCAATATGTCCTCCTCGTTGAATAGTCTAACACCATGCTAGCGGCTCCGAGTAATGCAGGTTCCTCCAAGTCTGAAGTGACAACCTTGATGCTCCGGACAGAGTCGAGGGCTCTATCAGTGATGATGCGTTGCACTGGGGCCTGGTAATAAGAGGCCAAGACTCCAGACAGGATCACCAGCGAGGGATTGACTATGTGGAGGATGTTGATGATGCCCAAACCGAGAGCTGTGGAGGCTGGAGAGGGCAAGTTGAAGACAGGTAGAAATTAGATTTTTCTCTATTTTTAAAAGAAGATGATATATGAACTCTGGAGGACAGCGATGGGCAGAAGGAGCATTGCATTAATTTTGTTTAGCAGTGTAAAACATTTGAGGTTTCTGTAAAAGGGACTTGTTTCTGTTTTTTATTTTGTATGGATTTTTGATTTTGCTGTATCTTACAGGACTTCTGCATTTCATCACTGCTAGTCAAGTTCAGACTGACATTGAGTCTGAGCACAAATGATGACATTTATATCAATTGATCAAAAAAAACATGTAATGTTGTAACAATACAGTATATACCGCGTAAGTAATTGATAGTTACTAATTCCACTGTAAAGATCCCTGCCCAGAATATGCTTGAATCCCGTTATTCACTAAAAGTTAAATAAAGCCCATGGTGTAGTTTGAATTTCTCATAAAAACAAAAAAACCTATGTATGTGTGCTTGCTTTGTGTGCTGACCCTTGTTCAGAACAGCGTCAGCTTTGGAGTTCCCTTGTCTGGCTGCACTGATGAGGTGGGCGGCAGTGACTGGGTCTGAGAGCTTCACATCCATCCCCTCCACCTTCAGCAGGTCCTCTGAAAGACACATCAACACACAGGTCAGATGTTATATAAAATATGAGAATGACATGGTAATGTAAAGGAAATACATATTGATCTTGATTTAAAATAGCTCCAACCAATAAAACTAGCCAGCCTATTCAATTTAGTGCTTTACTGAGAGTCTAAACCTCAGTGTGCACAAAAGCGTCTCTATTTCGGAGAAGCCCATGACACCTGGTGTGTTATGCAGATGTAACATTTTTTGGGTGAACTATTCCTTCATGCAGGTATAATGTTAAAAGGTAATCAAAAATAAAAGTTGTTTCATGGTGTACACTCTACAAGATTAGAAGACACCCCTTTACCCACCAACCTCTGCATCTTAGAGGACTAACTGAGTCTCAGCACATTTCTTGACGCTTCATACCGTACACACACAAAGACATCCACTCACCATCGTGCAGCCTTTTAGCCTCTCTCTGCAGGGCCATGCCAGATGCGTAGGCCTCTATGCATCCATGACTGCCACACGAACACTCTGGGCCTTCTAATGAAACAATGATGTGACCCAGCTCTGCAGCGCAGAAGGTACTGCCGTGGACCAGCTCGTTGTGATGGATAATCCCTCCTCCAATACCTACGCACAGAGTTACAACTTTACTTCCTCAGGCTGTCAGTGCAGTTAAGCAACCAAACTAATTTGTTAAAAGAACAGAGTATAACAGCATTATCAATTACCTTCAAATAAGGCCAATGATGATCACAATCTGCATTAACTCATGATACAGGGCTAAAGTAGAAAATGTCTTAATGATGCCCAGACTATTGTATGTTGGACTAACATCACACCAACACATCAGCTGTCCACAAACTTTTAGAGAGACATGAGTGCAAATCGATGCAACAAACAGACGCAAACAAGGATGAACAAAAGCAAATTCCACTGACAAATGTTTAAAACTTATCTTTGTATCTTTATGCTGTTTGTTCATTATCTTGGGGTGAGAGACAACAGTGATGCCCTGACACTGAAAAAAGCCACCCCATTGTCACTTTGCAATCCATTTGTCAGCTTCACAATGCACACTGCCATGTACTGTAGTTTTATATACAGTGGCAAGAAAAAGTATGTGAACCTTTTGGAATTTCATGGCTTTCTGCATTAATTTGTCATAAAATGTGATCTGATCTTCATCTAAGTCAAGAGTACTGACGAATATAATGTGCCTAATATAACACAAAAAATCTGATCTTTCATGTCTTTATTGAGAACAACCATAAAAATCTCATAGTGCTAGTGGAAAAAGTATGTGAACCCTTGAGTTAATGACCTCAAAAAAGCTAACTGGACTCAGGTGTTAGCATACCTGGAGCCTTGTTAAGAAAATAAGTTTGGAGGTGTGGACTAGAGATACTTTGACTGATAAATGCGCTTATGTGATCCATGCCTCGCCAAAAAGAGCTTTCAGAAGATCCACGATCAAGAATTGTTGATTTACATAAAGCTAGAAAGGGTTATA